ACACCCTGAATGCTGATGTGTGTGTGTGTGTCCTCACCGGCACTGCCTGCCCACCACGGAACGTCACCACACTGGATGCTGAATTTGTGTGTGTGTGGTCCCTCACCGGAACGGCCTGCCCCACACGACGTACACCTGAGATGCTGATGTGGTGTGTGTGTGTCCTCACCACCGAGCACCTGCCTGCCCCACCACGGAACGTCACACCTGGATGATGATGCTGTGCGTGTGCTGATGTCCCTCCCCGGCACTGCCTTGCCCACCACAGGAACTCACCCCTGAGAATGCTGATGGTGGTGTGTGTGTCCCTCACCCAGGGCACTGCCTGCCCACACGAAGATCAACACGCACTGGCATCGCTGATGTTGTGTTGTGTATGTTTCCCCTCACTCTGCACTGCTGCCCCACCACTGGAATCGTCCACCACTGGATGCTGGATGTGCTGTTGTGTGTGTCCCTCACTCCGGCACTGCTCTGCCCCGCAGGGAGATGTCACACGCTGAATGCTGAGGGTGTGTGTGTGTGTCCCTCACGCACCCCGGCATTGCCTTGCGGCCCCACGGAATCACACCTGGATGCTGATGTTGTGTGTGTGTGTCCCTCACCCGGGCACTGCTTGCCCCACACGGAAATGTCGCACACCTGGAGATGCTGGATGTGTGTTGTGTGTGTCCCTCACTCCGCCTGCCTCGCCCCACCACGGAACTGTCACAACCTGGATGCTGATGTAGTGTGTGTGTGTCCCTCACTCCGGCACTGGCCTGCCCCACCACGCATGTCACACCTGATGCTGATGTGGTGTGTGTGTGTCGACCTCATCCCGGCACCGCCTGCCCACCCAGAATGTCACACCTGGATGACTGATTGTGGTGTGTGTGTGTGTGTGATGGTGTGTGTCCCTCTCCGGCACGCCTCGCCCACCACAATATGTCACACCGGATGCCTATTTTGTGTGTGGTCCTTCATCCGCACTGCCTGCGCCACCCGGGAACGTCAACACTTGGACACTGATGAGCTTGTGTGTGGTGTGTGTGTGCACACTGAGTACACAGTGAGTACCTCTGTGTCAGTGTCACATCAAGCTCCACCTGCTGGTGCTCAACAGCTCCTTGTTTCACCTCCTCCACGCGCGCTCCTCCATGGTCCAGCGCGGGCAGGTCTGGTGGCGCCTAATGTACTGGCCAGGCATGACACCGACCCACCGTCACCCATCGGTCACCCAGCCACTCTGAGACAGGTGCTGCGAGGAGGGAGTGGAGCCGCCCCTGCTCCGTAAAACCACGAGGATGTATGTGACAGGATTGGCACACGGGGCTGTGGGAACAACTAGAGGGAAGGGGCACACCCAGGTCAGCCCCTGCCGAGTGGGGAGCCCTGACAGGAAAGGGAAGGGGTGCCTGTGGGTGCCTTGGAGGGCTGAGATCAGGAGGAAGCGCCTGGAGCGGCAGCTGGAGAGGCTAATGTGGGCTGCAGCCCAGCGTGGTCACAGTCAGCGGCTTCTGCCTGCCATCGGATTGGCTGGCATGGAAGCGCCCAAACGAGAGGCATGAGTTTCAAAGGCCCAAGGGGTGCACATCGAGCACAGCTGAGACTGTAGAACGAGCCAATGGGACTCACAGCCGGCCTCCTTTCAGCAGATCAACCAGCAGGGAAACGAGAGGCCTGGCATGGCAGGGCGGCGACCCGAGGCACGATTGTCGGACGAAACGCCCCAGCCTGCTTGCAGAGGCCCAGCATCGCTTTCATGGGGCTCTCCTGACGGATCCCCCACCAGCTCCAAATGCTTGAGAACCTGGCTCGCTGCTCTAGGACTTAAGAGGCTCAAAGGGACACATCAGGTAGGTATAGGACTTTGGATCTGGATTACAAAATTGGAAACAAAACCACACTTAAAATGCCAGACAAGGAAAAGAAATCTCAACACTGGAATTACCTTGATAGCTTTGTAAACGTTTGGTTCTGTCGTATTATCAT